TTCAGCATTATATTAAGTTAAAATTGGGCTTATTTATGATTATGTGTCATCTTTAATTGATTAATAGTAATGAGAAATCAAAAATCATTAAGGAAAAAATTCAGTGTTTGTCATGGGTTTCATCAGAGAGGATAAATTTAGCCGTGGGCATATATAGGACTATACGGCGTCATGCTTTCTGGTGCCTTCATTGCAAGGTTTCGCATTTGAAATGGAAACTTCAAGACTAAATTATAGATGAGAGCGTTTTTGTAAAACATAGTAAAATGGTACGTTTATTTGTGGGGTTGGGTGCGCTATATACGGCCTCTGAAAAACAATAATAATCTCTGTAATAAAAACAACAATTAGTGAGCAGAGTATTTTGTGTGCTTCATCATATCAGGAGTTAATAATGGCAATGTTATTGTTATTTATATTATACAATTTGTAATTACAGTGTAACCACTGAAGACGAACATCATATGAAGACAAGCAAGTGGAAAAAGCGAAATTATACACATATTAATGTTATGAACAGGGTGCATAATTAGCTTCTGAAAAACAATTAATACACCGTATTTGGGTAATTAATAATGAATCATAAATTTCACGTCAAAGGCTATATGTTAGGGCAACTTTGTTTTCCTGCTTATATTATAATACTAGCTAGCCTATGCTACCCGGCTTTCCCCAGGGAAAACAAGTCTAGAATAATATACGCCACGTAAACACGTGCACATCTTTTGTGGCAACATTTTCATATTTTACTTTCACGAATCTCAGTAATACAGTCGCAAGTTTGCTATTCATTGCTGTTTTGTAGACTACTGGCTGGGGTATTCGCGGCGTTTCCCGGGAAAAAAAGATTAGGAACAACTTGTAGAGCAAATTCTGACATATATATATATATATATATATATTTACAGAATTGAAAGGATAGAGTCGTAACAGAGAAACAAAATATGAAGGTGTAAACAATATTCTGACAAAAAACAGTTTGAAAGATTCTAGAACCCATCTATAAGGCCAGAGATCTAAGGGATTGTCCCATGATATTCATTGCAATAGTAGTGTTCTTCCGCGACCTCCTATGGCTGCCAGTGACCTTGGAGGTCGGATCTGACCTAATCCGCCCTCTCACTTGTGGGGTCAAAGAACATATTTTTGTACTTTATAACAAACTCTCTATCTGGCTTCGTTAAGCCACAAATTACTATTTTGGCTTCTCATGACCTCCTGTGACCTCTAGTGACCTCTGGTCTACGGTGCCTATGATATCCCATGACACTCTCCGGGTAAAATTACCTGTGTGGATCAATTTTCAGCCCCCGGGGACCAACCGTTTGGTCATATCCGGACACAGAACAGACGAATAGATGAACAATCACTGGAAATATTAGTATAATAGATATATACGTACTGCACGCACAAAATAATAGACGCAGACACGAACGAAAACCATCAAGACGCTCATATAAATCTACATTAATTCAAGAGAAAACAACTTGACAGGTAATGAAAATGACAGGCGGCCGACTGTGCGGTCGCCCGCATAATGAAAGCGGTTCACTGGGTGACTGGGTGACTAGGGGTCTGTGTCACTGACCTCCCTCAGTCAGTCACACTGAAGGTATTGCCTAGCCACGGATCTGTCACTCGTGTCGAGGCAGCAGCAACAGATTAGACAATAGTTACATATGCTGGCGTGGCACACATTCCACCAACACCACAAGTGAAAGCAGTGTGAGGCCGAATGCGGTCGACCGCACTGTCTTCGACAAAACCTCAGATCGGAGGCCGTGGCGGTCGCGTGGAGCTGTTGAACGCAAAAAAAGCGAGTTATTATACATAACGGCAAAAATTGAGCAGCGGAGCCGCTTCCGACTACTCTCGCTCGCTGCTATATATATATATATATAAATTTATCCTATATATATATATACCATATAGATATATATAAAATTATTTACTCCTGACAATATGGAGTAAATAAGTTTGAAAAGAATTTGACACGTATTTTCCCGTATTTTCACCGATTTATATTATAAGTAGATAATAGGGAATCCATATTATCTACTTCTGATATATATGATAGTATAGCTAATTGATCTCGTGCATGTTTAGATGTTCAGTAGCGTTTAACAAGCTTCATAACGTACTGAGGCTATTCAAATGAATACCGATTATACCTCACATCATAGACCCGCCCTCGGCACTTCTAGTTTTTGGGTTTATACACGCCATCAGGAATTATCTGACACACGCGCTCTAGCTTCCTTAATCAGTTTGCACTTGGAAACAGTCATCATGGATAAACCGTATCTGGTCTCGTTACGAAAACGGTAATTTTACCGGGGCGCGCTTTAAATTTGAAAGAACATGAGAAAGGAATGATGCCCGTAGGCTACCGTGTTCTCGTTTCAACACATAAAGGCGCCTGTTTGCACGTACGCGCCGAACCACCATTAAAGTTCAGCACGCACCTCACCCTCCATCACTGCTACGCAGTCTTCCATTGTTATAGGGCATTGGGAGCAGTTCGGGTCAGTTCCACCAGGTGGCCATGGTGTTTACGAGGATACGGTTTCGTGGTGCGCACAGCCAGGCGATCTAGGTCTTTAACACGCGCGCGCGCACACACACACATACACAAACACTCACTCACACACACACATACACACACACACAAACACACACACACACACACACACACACACACACACACACACA